TTTCCACAATAATATTAAGTGTGCAGCACTAGTTGTCGACCGATATATCGGCCCATATTTGGCTTTTTCAAATATCGGCATCGGCCGATAATATTTTCTGTTTGGCCGATGCGTTCGAGGCGGACTTTTATTCTGACTCACATTCTCCCTCTTGTTCGCTGTCATCGTTTAGTTCTGTCTAATACGGATAGAACTCTGTTTAATAATCCGATAGAACTGTTAAACAAAAGGAATTAAAATGTATACAAAAAGTATTATAACGATTGCTTTTATATTATTAGTAATAGAAAGGCAAACACTATAATACTTTCTCGTTTGCCGTCAGCATTCAGCAAATTCTCATTTACATAATTTAAACAAATCTTTGAATGGCTAATGAAAATTTAATTTCACAAAACTTGCAAACTTAGTAGAATACAGTTGTAAGATCTTGTGAAGTGTGCATGTGACCTGCATGATCGCGTGTTCTTTTATGCTTTAAACATAAATTCATGATTTCAAATTATGCGGCACTTGCCCACTGTCATAATCATGTCATTTTCACTGTGTGCTGTATGTATGATGTGTGTTATGAGTGTTACCGTGGCTTTATTTGAAAAAATATGATTCCCAATGCACACAAACTTCCCAGAATACTGAGTGCTCTGTTGGTTACAGTTTACTTCCAAATTTATTTATTTGTGGAAAATACTTTGTCATCTAAAGTATAAGTATGTTTATTTTACAAAATTATTTTTTAATCCATTTTCAAATGATTTCAAATTTCTTAAATATTAATTAAATAAATACAATTATATCGGCCACCCAGCTTTCCAAGATATTGGTATCGGCTGTCAAAAAATCAATATCGGTCGACCACTATGCAGCACAACTGTTTTCAACATTGATAACAATAAGAAATGTTAGAATTATTTCTGATCAGTAATGGCTGCTGAAAATCGTCTCGGGTTACTGATGTAACCATGGTTCCCTGAGTAGGGAACGAGACACTGCGTCCTCTAGGGGTCGCTATGGGGAACGCCTCGTCGTGACTCGTATCTGAAGCATACATTGAAAAAACACCAACTCGTTGGCCGGCGACAGCCATGACGTCACTACCGGTGCGACTACAGTATAAATCGGTGCCGGGAGCTACACATCATTCACTTCTTCGTCTGAAGCTTGCGTCCGCAGCATGGCAAGAAACCTAGAGGACGCAGTGTCTCGTTCCCTACTCAGGGAACCATGGTTACATAAGTAACCCGAGACGTTCCCTTTCATGGGAACTTCGAACTGCGTCCTCTAGGGGTCGCTAGGGGGAACGGTATACCCACGCCACCATGCTGAGGGGAGTGCAAGCCAGAACCATGGCGAGCACTAAGAACCAACTCTACCATATTGCTATGGTCATCACAGGAATAAATTACATTTTAAATATATTAAAATACAATACAGTTATTTTAAATTATAATATTTCACAGTTCTTTCTTTCTTTATTGATCAAATAAATGCATGCTTTTACTAGAAACTAGAATTTAAATCACGTCAGTCTAGTCCTAAAGTCAAGGAGACCAGCATGGTCTGGTCATAGTTGTTGGTTTCTCCTTGTGGATATTGTATATACTGTAATAGGTTAGTGATCCCACCCTCCATCAGTGTGTGTGTCAGAGCAGTTTACATACACAGCCCTCACAGTACAGTAGACTCTAAGCTTTATTTCTTCACCCCATCCAACTAGTGATGTACGTTTGTGTTCTGAATCAGCTGATTCTCAACTAACTCCACTTCTGTTTCTGGGTCACACACTGAGTGCACAAACAAACCACTCCACTTTTAAATGACCTGCCATCTAGCCTTACTTCAGATTGTATAGCCATCACAAGCACAGCCTAACCCATCATGAAGCACACTAGAGCGCTGCAGATGATATACTCACTATACTGCTGAGGCTAAGGGTAATGTGAGTCGTGATTTTCAGACACTATTGAGCTGAATCGATCCTCTGTTCATTCATCCTTTCCGGCCTTTCGCATTATAGGAAATGCTTCACTGTGTAAACCAGCACTGCTTTCCTTATCATTTAAAGGGACATAACATTTTATGTCACTTTATCACAAATCACATTATCACTCTTTTGTTTTCTTTTGAATAATCTTAATTCAGCAGCTCTTGATATTGTGTCAAAAACATGCAGTCCTTGCAAACGGTGTAATATTCATCTTCTGTATATTTTTGTGATGAACACTGTAATTTACCCTTTTTTCCATCAAACATTACTCTTTAATATTTAAATATTTCTGTAATAGTACAGTACAGTGCAAGAAACGCAATGATTTCTAGGGAAAGCAATGTAAGCAAATAGACTGCATTGCATTGGACTGCAATGCATTAATGGAAATGTACTGTAAATATGACATCAGGCATCATGTTTGAAATGCAAAAACTAGTTATGTTTGAAATTGTAACTGACATCCAAATTCATGTTATGCTTCGTAAGGTGCCATTTTTGATTGGAAGGCTACAACAAAGGGCATTTCTGTTTGTCAAACAAATCTATTGTATGACTTAAGAAAAGATACACTACCATTCAAAACTTTGGGTTCGGTAAGCTTTTTTTAAAAAGTCTCTTAATGCTCACAGAGGTGCAATTATTTGATCAAAATATATTAAAAATAGTAATATAGTATATTACTAATTGATGTTAATTTAAAATAGTTTCGGTTTTAATATTTGAAATAGGAATGTCCCAAGCTGATCTCCGGGATCGGGATTGGGACCAATCAAGCATTTTTTTTTAACTGATCAGTATTGGCTCTCCAAAGCCTGATTCTTATTTTACATCAGCTGTCATGATGGTGTTGTGCAGTTGGAGGCAGTATGCACCTTTAAGTGTGTTTACCAACCCCCATTAAAAGGAAAATAAGTTATTGAAAATGTACGTGCATAGTGTGCAACAACCATTGAAGTCTATTCAAGCATCCATGTTTAACATATTTAATGCACACTTAATCACTCATTTATCGTTTACTTTTATCTTCCGACAGACTGTGTTGAGATGTCGTTATATGCATCGCTTTGGGTTATGTCGTTCTTCAGATTTGACTGACAGACTGACATGATGGCATTCGCGAGCTTCATACTTTCTTACCATATCTCCACTTTTAACCTTTATGTTGCAATTATTCTGCTTTAGGGTTGGGCCGATAGACGATGACAGACATGACATGATAGACATCACGATGTTAAGCTGACATCGTGATTCCTTCCCCACCCACCCCCTCTCCCGCAATCCGCCGCATTCCAGTTCCGTGTTCGGAAAGGAAATAAAGTGTACTACGGAAACCTTAAAGGGAATAAATAGCCAACGAGATGGAAGGATAAAAAAAAAATTTCAATACTTTTTCTTGCAATTATATCGTTGGGTAAGTATAGGCGACTGTATATAAATTGCGGGCATCAGGTAGCCGCTATTGAAACTGCTTTTGATTGCGCGCCCTCATTTTACTTTCACTTTCACTATTGAGATTCGCGATCACAAGGACTCTATACTATCGAGCGGCAGTACTTACCACATATTTGACAAGATTAGATGTTTGTCATTGGTGCTCAGGATCTGCAAATCATTCGCCATCATCCTATCAGACATTTCTCCTTACTCTGTGTATGTGGTAAGTGAACTTTCATGTACTGTAATGCAACAGGCTACCGCTAGCAAGCGGCTAACCTTTTAGTGGCTCCGTCTTATGCGGTATTTGTTTCACGCTTCAGGCACACCCCTAATCCCGCCCCCGATGTCATCGTCCGTCACGATGTTTCACTGTCGACATCGTCCGATGCCAATTTGGTAGAAATCGCTCAACCCTATTCTGCTTATTGTGCATAAAAAATACAAGAAGTTTATATCAGTAGTCCCATATTCATAATGATGACCACTCTGTCTGTGAAAAGTGTCTACCATTGTAATATGTTTACCTCTTACATCTATGTATGTGTGCATACATATACACTAGGGCTGCAACAACTAATCGATAAAATCGATTATTATCGATTATGAAAATCATCGGCAACGATTCTCATTATCGATTAATCGGGTCTGCCCACAGTGCACGTCCAACGGAGTTTACATACTTGTCCAACTTCAGCCGGTCGCGTCAAATTAAAGCACTGAATTACTTATTTCTATGGACAAAATGCATCTAAAATAGTGGAGGAAACAGAATGAGATGCTGAAGGAGAGTTACGTGATCCCAGCTGCCCAAAACATGAGAATTCTTTATTTTAAGCTTTAAGCTAATGCATTAGCGTAATGGCTTGCCCTGTCAGGCACTTTAACAGATGCGTGTGCGTCCTCAGTGCAAAAACACTTTCAGTTATATTTTATGAGAGTAGGAACTGTAAGGGGATAACAGCGTGTAATTGTCTGAATATAAATATCAGACGCTTCAAAACCGCCTTTTAACAGGATAAAGAAATGACACTAAGCCCTATTCGGAATCCATGAGTTTTATCACTGAGGTGATAAGTAAATTTATTTTTACAGACGTCCATATGAGAAACAATTACCGTCCGAATTGGGCTCTGACGTGACTGTGATCAAAGTGAACGTGTTCCTGCAGGGCATCAGGTAGCCGCTATTGAAACTGCTTTTGATTGCGCGCCCTCATTTTACTTTCACTTTCACTATTGAGATTCGCGATCACAAGGACTCTATACTATCGAGCGGCAGTACTTACCACATATTTGACAAGATTAGATGTTTGTCATTGGTGCTCAGGATCTGCAAATCATTCGCCATCATCCTATCAGACATTTCTCCTTACTCTGTGTATGTGGTAAGTGAACTTTCATGTACTGTAATGCAACAGGCTACCGCTAGCAAGCGGCTAACCTTTTAGTGGCTCCGTCTTATGCGGTATTTGTTTCACGCTTCAGGCACACCCCTAATCCCGCCCCCGATGTCATCGTCCGTCACGATGTTTCACTGTCGACATCGTCCGATGCCAATTTGGTAGAAATCGCTCAACCCTATTCTGCTTATTGTGCATAAAAAATACAAGAAGTTTATATCAGTAGTCCCATATTCATAATGATGACCACTCTGTCTGTGAAAAGTGTCTACCATTGTAATATGTTTACCTCTTACATCTATGTATGTGTGCATACATATACACTAGGGCTGCAACAACTAATCGATAAAATCGATTATTATCGATTATGAAAATCATCGGCAACGATTCTCATTATCGATTAATCGGGTCTGCCCACAGTGCACGTCCAACGGAGTTTACATACTTGTCCAACTTCAGCCGGTCGCGTCAAATTAAAGCACTGAATTACTTATTTCTATGGACAAAATGCATCTAAAATAGTGGAGGAAACAGAATGAGATGCTGAAGGAGAGTTACGTGATCCCAGCTGCCCAAAACATGAGAATTCTTTATTTTAAGCTTTAAGCTAATGCATTAGCGTAATGGCTTGCCCTGTCAGGCACTTTAACAGATGCGTGTGCGTCCTCAGTGCAAAAACACTTTCAGTTATATTTTATGAGAGTAGGAACTGTAAGGGGATAACAGCGTGTAATTGTCTGAATATAAATATCAGACGCTTCAAAACCGCCTTTTAACAGGATAAAGAAATGACACTAAGCCCTATTCGGAATCCATGAGTTTTATCACTGAGGTGATAAGTAAATTTATTTTTACAGACGTCCATATGAGAAACAATTACCGTCCGAATTGGGCTCTGACGTGACTGTGATCAAAGTGAACGTGTTCCTGCAGAACATTACTCTTACCTATTGGTTACTACTGAGTTTGTGATTTGAAGATATTCGTCTTTATCATCTTTATTATTATTTACATTTTTAATGCAGAGATTTAAACTATATTCACTATATACAATGCTTAACAAATGTATTAAAACAAATTTATGTAAGGTTTTTAACAAATTATGGTTTGTGCCAATGCTGCTCTAAACTAACAGTACTGGTGATTACCAAAATCATTTTTTAGCTTTCTGTATGGGTTAGTCCTCCAATATGCATAAGCTCTTTAGTAACAGTAGTAGGCTGTTTCTAATGCTATAATATAATTATTGCTGTTATCTATGAAAGAAAGGCAGAGAGCTTTATAGTGTTTTTTTTTCAGATACCCAATTACAGTCAAAAAGTACTTAAACAATGCCAGCAAGAATGCTAGCTATGAAGGGCATAGGAGGCCATTTTTATTATGTGAATAAATAAAAGTATTTAGTTATAAATAAATGACAATAAAAACATTTTGATTTCAGATTCCTAAAATGTGTTTTCTCTTTATTTAGACCACCTGCTCTTTATTAGCAGGTGGTCTAATAAATTGTTAAGCACTGTATGTTTTCATAGCATTCAGTTGGAACATTTGTTTTAAGGACATTGGGCAGAATGTGGAATAGTGTGTTTTTGTCAATAAAATAAAATAAGAAATTTTTTTGTTTTTAATCTGATTAATTGAAAAAATAATCGACCAACTAATCGATTATCCAAATAATCGTTAGTTGTAGCCCTAATATACACAGAGAGAGAGAGTATGACAGTATCTCGGTATCGACAGATACAGATATATTCGATGACTCGGATCGGATGGGGTGCACAAAAAACAGCATTTTTCAGCATTGTTACTCCAGTCTTCAGTGTCACATAATCCTTCAGAAATCGTTCTAATATGCTTATTTGCTGCTTAAAAATATTTCTTATTATCTATGTTGTAAACAGTTGTGCTGATTAATATTTTTGTGGAAACCATGATCATTTTTTTCAGGATTCTTTAACGAATAGAAAGTTCAAAAGAATAGCATTTATTAGAAATACCAGTTTTTTTATTAATGCCATTGTCACTTTTGATCAATATAATGCTTCCTTGTAAGATAAAATCTTACTGGCCCAAAGCACACAAGTGTTTTCAGTGGTACATTTTTTTGCTTATGAAGTTTCTATGATCACTAAGCTGTTGTGAATATTCCTAAAAAAAAATTCTTATTCTATTTAAAAAATAAAAATAAAAACGATATAAGGGTGAGTACATATTAACAGCATTTAAATTTTTGGGTGAACTAGTGCTTTGAATGAGGGGGGGGGAGAAGCAGGGCTGGATTAAACCGTGAAGCATCTCTCCCTCTTGTCTCTCGCTTCCTTCTCTCAGTGCGCATGACGTACAGAATTCTTATTCTATTTAAAAAATAAAAATAAAAACGATATAAGGGTGAGTACATATTAACAGCATTTAAATTTTTGGGTGAACTAGTGCTTTGAATGAGGGGGGGGAGAAGCAGGGCTGGATTAAACCGTGAAGCATCTCTCCCTCTTGTCTCTCGCTTCCTTCTCTCAGTGCGCATGACGTACAGAAGAGAGGAAGAACATACTGATCTATATTTAGAGGCTAAGGCAGAAAAAGCATCCTACCCACCTCAAGGCCCAACATAACCCTCCGGCACATGTACACCCCTCCAAACACACAAATCAAGGGCAATGCTCTGTCTTTGAAATGAATGGATTTTTTGTGTGTGTGTGTATTGTATTGTGTAATGTGTATTGATGTGAATTGATGTTAGTAAACACTATGGGATGCAAGACATTTTTTGGAAGAAATTCCAACAATAAAGTGAAAATTGAATTGAATTGAATTAAATGTATAATTTATATATCTTGTGGAGTGCCTGGCCATTAGACAACCTGACCGAATTGTTTCCATTTTGTGGACCCTAAGAAAGATGGAGAGCGAAGCATGGAGAAAAGAGAAAGGGAGGGAATCTGAGAGAAGGAAGCGCTTCGTGCTTTGCATGCTAAGTTGCTTTTGTTTCAAGGCAGCTTCTTTCTTATAGATGCACTGGCTCTGTCTGTTTTGGAACAGACACATCAGACTGGATGAATATTCCCAGCATTCACAGCAACGGGCTCAGTAAATAATAGCAGAGAAATCTGTTCTGCTCAAGTTATCAGTCGTTCTCTTCTCTCACTAATGGTATTTAGCAGATGTCATCATGGCTTAGATTCATTTGATGACCTGTTATGCAATGCCACAGGCTGGTGTTAGCATTGAGAGCTTGTTGAGCTTATCATCCCAGTAGAATTAAAGAGAGAGATCACCCAAAAATTACAATTCTGAACATATACTCACCTTCATGTCATTCCAAACCTCAAAAAATGACAAAAAGCACAAATAAAGCATCGTAAAAGTAGTTCTGTGAATTATGCACTTTATTAATATAGTCTTCTAAAGCTATATAGGATCACAGGATTCTGAATGTAGGGCTGTCACCATTTACTTTCATTGTATGGAAAGGAGCAGCATGGACATTCTGCTGAACATCTCCTTTTGTGTTCCGCAGAAGAAAAGATTAATACATGTTTTAAAAAGACACAAACAATGCAAAACAATGACAGAGTGAAAGTTTTTGGTTGAGCTATCCTTTGAATAAACTAAATTTCCCCCGTGGTTGTTAAATGCTCTATTGTAAGTTGCTTGTTTATTGTTTGCAAACAGATGCGATGGAAATTATTGAATTATTAACTATTAAACACAGTTGGCATATATGATGCTTCAGTGATGATTTTCTAGTCACGTGTACTCTGAACGTAATCACATATGGTTGTCTTAGAGATCTGTGGTTAGTCATTAACCGCCCTATGTTTCCATGCTATGAGGCAGCACTCGGTTTTATTTTGGGCTTTAAATTCAGTCTTCAGCTTTGTGTAATTTCTGCCAGAACAAGCTTCGTCTGGCTCTCATCTGCTTGGCCTCAATTCACTTCAGATAACATGACAGATGGATTTGTTCAAGTGTTTTACTCTTTAATGCTCTGCAGTTTGTCACAACGACAGACAGAAAAAGCTTTAATTGTGCTTTGTAAGCAAAAGATTTTAAGACTTTTAAAAGATTTTAAGATAATTATTTCTTTCTTTATTAAAATTATACCTAAAATAATCACAAAATGGTCTGTAAGCATTAACCGAATGATTCTGTTCTCTCTGAGAAATATAAAAGCCTGTTTTTTTTGTTTGTTTTTTAATAAAAGTTACCAGATATTCTTTGTCCATTAACATTATGGTTTGTCCTAAAAAGTGAATGAGACATCTGATTTCAATCAGACAGCATTATAGAAATGCTGTGGTGTCTATCAGGCCTCGGTAGACACATCATTTTGTCATCTCATGCCATCTAGAGGACGATGTGAAACGTATTTATTAAAAAGCATGCCTTAAATGCTGGAATTAATGCTTTGTATTCTTCAGATACTTTATTTAGCATTACATATTACAAAAAAAAAAGTTAAAGGAGATGCTCTTGCACACTTCAGCTCTAAAGATACATTTTGCAAGATGTAAAACTGAATTACTGTCAATAACATTCACAATATTCATAATATTATGTGTTAAACCTTCATTGGGGAGTCATTTCATGTCTTTTTGTAATGTAGTCTGGAAAGAGTCATCAGTTGCATCTACAGTATGTTCACATCTGCACACAATGGCTCCACCTTATGGCCATTATTGGTCACTAACCAGTCCTGGACTTGTTGATTTCCACAGCTGTTCACTGCAATCTGACCCAGAATGGGATTGACCATCAGGTGTGTGCAGAGGATGTGACCTCACACCTGGAGGAAGTGTCTGTTGATCATGGACTGGATGATGACAGCCCAGGCTTTCAGGACCAGAGTCCTGGTTTCCAGCGACGATCTCCACCTCAGCGCTCCATCTCAGAATCTGAGCTCTCCAGGGTGAGAATAGATTCAAGACTATTACCATGATCTCAAACACTAATGCCTTCTATAATTATGCTACCGCTTAAAAGTTTAGGGTCTGTACGATTTTTAAAAGAAATCGTAAAAAATATTTTATGCTCACCAAGGCTGCATTTATTTGCTCAAAACTACAGTAAAGTAATATTGTGTAATGTTGTGATATATTATTGCTATTTAAAATAAGTTTTCTATTTTAATATATTTTAAAATGTGATTTATTCCTGTGATGGTAAAGCTGAGTTTTCAGCAGCCATTACTTCAGTCTTTTGTGTCACATGATCCTTCAGAAGCTATTTTAATACGCTGATTTGGTGCTCAAGAAACAGTTATCAATTTTGAAAACAGTTGTGCTGCTTAATATTATCAGATTCTTTGAAATAGATATCTTTTATAAAATTATTAGTTTTTTTTTCTTTAAAATGTTTTACTGTCAGTTTTGATTAACTTAATGCATCCTTGCTGAATATAAGTAAAACGTTTGAATTGTTGTGTATAGTAGAGAATCTCACTAATTTTGGAGATATAAAAAGACTGAATACATCCCAAAATGTACCATATTGTTGTAGTATTAGTGACAGTAGATAACATTGTATTTAAATCTTATCAAATTATAGATATACACAAGGTTCATCTACCAAAGCACAGTGGTTTACTTTTGCTTATTATCTTTAATGATTCTTACATGAATGAATATTACAAAAGAAACTGCTTATCTTGTCACCTGCCATATTGTAAGAAATGCTTGGCTTTGCGTGTTTCTTCGAGACACGTGTAAATTGTGACTTTTGGCAATCTGAAAATCTGGGCCCATATTTATCAAGATTCTCAAAGTGCCCTTTTAGTCTTAAGTGCTGAGAATTTATTACATTTACTCCTACTTTCAAACTTAAGTATAAAAGCAAGTTATCAAATTTCTTAAAGCTAAGAATCACTCTTACTCTCCCAGTTATTTAAGACCGCTCGAGAGGTCTCTCAAGTGGTTAGGAGTTGCCAATAGGGGCTTGTGATGGCGCTGAGGAGACAGAGACATCCGCAAATCTTTCAGGAGAGGAAGAATGTTCTTGAAATGTTTGACGACGAGCAGTTAACAAAACAGTTACATTTCCTCAGATATTCAAACAGAAACGAGCAAAGAGGATTTACATTACCAAAGAACATCATAACTGACTTCAGTCTAGTGCGAGTAGTATAAGCTCTGTAAAAGCACTCCCGTTATAATCAGTGAAGCTACCTACACTGTATCATGAATAAATCTCTTACCCCTTATTTACACTGCACACTCTCCGCGCTGCATCACTAAAGATAGGCGCCTATATTTTTGACAGATAATTATTATAATAATAATAATCTTCTTGCTGTCGTCAAAGAAATCAGCCACAGGTGATATCTCTGACTATCGTCGATACATACTATCGTCTACCGGTGTCCTGACATATTATCCTACCCGTCAGATTGTCCTACCAGGGTTTACTGCACATGCGCACATCAATATCGTGTCCTTTTTCTCACTCTGAACAACAATATTTAATGTATCTGCATTACTGTAAGGGTAGGTTTAGGGTTGGGGTAGGTGTAAACTTTAATAAAACACAATCTAATAGGTAGAAAAAATTATTTATTGTTGGTTTCCTGTAGCTGTATCCCTTCTAGCCACAACAGCGAATATTTTACTGTATTTGCATTACTGTAAGTGTAGGTTTAGGGTTGGGGTAGGTGTAGACATTAATGAACCATAATTTTACAGGTAGCATTTTTGATTGTCGAATTGCACTACCCACTGTCTTAATGGGAGGTAGCAAAATCTGACAGGGTAGCACAAATCGACAGAACACCGGCACAACCCTAAATTAAGGTTGTGATGACGATTAGTTTCCTTACCATAATATAATCTCTTGAAAATTCTTTATTGTCAAGTGTGTGTTGAATGTAAGGAATTATTAGGAATTTAACCATTCAATGTGAATTTATCTGAGAATATTCTTAAATAAGGAAATCTATTAAGTGATTGGTCCATGCGTATTTTGTCATCCAAAATCCCATTTGTGGCACAGCAGAGTGTCGTGAATCAACTCTAAGACTGACACTTAAGATTCAGTCCTACACTTCGCTTAAATTACAACTGAGATGCTTGATAATTCAATTCTTAGCAGCGTTCTTGAGAGTAATTCTCATAGGCTTGATAAATAGGCTACAGGCCCTGACAAATATGTGACCATTACGATGTTTTCAGTTTAGTTTAGCAAATAATATTTTCTTTTTTTCATTTGAGTTTGGAATGAAATATAGCTAATGCCCCTTTTTTACAGTTTCTATTATTATCATTTAATAAGTGATGCAGAGTTCAAATGTACAGCATTTTACATTGGCTTCTGTGAACAAAAGCTAGCATATTTTCTCACTGCATAGTGCATACATTGAACTCACTGGCATCACAAATATTTTTGATAGTTAAACTATTCACCACAAGATGGGGCTCCAATGCACAGAGTCTGCATTGTTGCTCTGATTTAGGCTGTCCATCTCTATTATTAAATTTCAGTTAAATTTATTGTGATTCATATATAAACTTTTGAGCCATATATTTGAGAAATAGACAAGTTAATCAAATCGCCATTTCATCAAACAATAAAATGCATTAATAAAAACGTATATTGTCATTTTCATTGAAGCCATATATTTTTCTCCTTCATCTTTAATAATAAATATTGTTTATATCGGATCAACCCTTCAAATCATAAGCCTACAATGCCTCCAATATGAGTTCTGACTCCTGTTGTCGTAAATGATTATTTTAGTGCTGTTATGCATTCATATCTTCAAGTCATCATGCTTTGTTGCTATAGTAACATGAAAATTCTTGAATTGTGTAATTATACCAAGGACAGAATGACTGTGAAATTGTGTTTGTGTGTGTGTGTGTGTGTGTGTGTGTGTGTTATAATTTAAAAGCTCAGTTAGCTCACTTTTCCTCCCCTCAGTATCTCATCTGTCACTCGTCTTCATTTAATTGGCTGGGAATCCACCTACAAAGCCATTCCCACTTGTCTCCTACCTGCAGGAACTTCAGAATTGGTCACTCCTGTCCTCACAACTTCTTAAAGTCTTCTGTGTATCGGAGCTCACGATGGTATCTCCACTTGCACTGCTCTTTCAATGCAGTGTAATGTATCTTTATGTATTAAACCTCATCAATCCTTTTGTAATGCCTGCCCTCGCAGCTCAGTGGCAGATATCTTGGGTTAATTAGCTCTGTGCTGTTTTTAGTTGGGCTGTGACTCTCGCCCCACTGGAGGTTGTTTCTACTGACTCAGCGTCTGTTTCTTTGCCTGAGCTCTGTTGCTGCTGAATTAACCTGCTTCCTAAAGGTAGCTTACATTTCAGCTCTCAACAGCGCTATCACAATGGCCCTTTTTCCAGACGCTCTGAATTCAGCTCACACCATACTCAAATGGCAAGTAGTGGCATTCAAACAGGAGGCAGTCATTAAAGGGATAGTTCACCCACAAATTGAATTTTGTTATTATTTATTCACCCTCGTGTTCTTCCTAACTCGTATGACTTCTGTGGAATACATTTAAGAATGTGTCAGTTGCTATTTTTAATGCAATTACAGTGAATGGGAACTGAAGCATTTAAGCCTTAAAAAGGTCACAAATAAAAGTGGTCCATATTTTTCCACATTTAATGAAGTTATGTGACCAGTTTATGTGAGTATCAAGTGAAATGTATTCACTGATGATCAGTAAATTGAACTTAAGAACCAGATCATTTGTACAGTAAATGAATCGTTCTGACTTGTTTTGTGAAGTGGTTCAACCAATTTATTTAAAAGATCTGATTCATTCATCATTTAGGTATTGTATATAGCACAAACTATGATGAAAAAATTTATATTTTCTGTGAATAACAACTTCTGTAATGCTTGGCATCTTGAATGCTTCAATCCTGTGAGCAAATAATGACAGATTTTTTATTCTGGGGAAGAGGTGAAAAGATTCTGCATTTACATTCTGTTATCTTTTTCCCTTGCCCAGCCGGGAACTGTGAAGCTGTCCAAACCTGTGGCTCTGTGGAGCCAGCAGGACGTGTGTAAATGGCTGAAGAAACACTGTCCCAATCAACACCAAGTCTACAGTGACTCCTTCAAGCAGCACGACATCACAGGTAAACACAGGCACCCTGTCAGTCTTACAATGATCTTGTCCAAGGTCAAATACCCACAGTCCAACGCTTACGCACACATTCCACTTACATTAAGACATTCATAATGGCACTGCCATTAATTGCTGCCGGCTCAGCCTAGATGATTGCATTCTGATGTTTATTAGCTCAGCAGGGGTTCCTGTGTAGTTGAGGAGGCATGTCGAGGGAATTTATGTATGCTTGTGTCGTTTTAATGTTGTAACCTAACTAGTGATGGATGAATGTACCACGGTTTTTAATGTTGTATTGTGCTTTAATGTGTTTTTACTTCAAGAAGCATCATAGAGATGAATTGCTTGCATGGTGCAAGCATAGCATCAACATCCAATATGTTAAAATTTTTTGGAGGTGTTTACTCGTACAGCCCGATGTTATGTTATGTTATTAAGAGAAAATTAGTATTATTAAATGTTATTGTGTTTTTGTACTTTAAAAAAACTATATATAATTATAATATACAATTTATTACATTTATATATAATTTATTCTTTTGACAACTCTAACATTGTCATTTTTTATTTTATAAAGTACAAATGTTAAAATTTGTAGTTGGAAATCAGGGTCAATTGTCTTATAGTCCCAAGATGTCAGATGAGATACAGTAAACCAAAATCCATCTTTGCGGTCAAATAGATCATGGAGTGATTTGCTCTGCTTTGTTTATAATCATGACTTTCTTTGCAGTAGCATAATTGCACAGTGCTGATGAACTGAGGTCCTTTAATCAAGAGCAGTCGTCCTGAAAATTTTCAGTTTCCAAGGTCTCTTGATGAAAAGTTCTTGTGGTGATTTATCATGATTTGGCCAACTGTCGTGAGTAATGCTAACTAAAGCAATGTTATGTCCATTCTGGATTGTTCTAGTTTGACTGGAAGAATTGTGAATGTGATTTGCATTAGGGTGATGCGTGATCCAATTAGCCATAATTTATGCAGAAAATATGCAAGCTGCTCGATTTGACGATCCAGTATTAATGAACAGGAATCAGGTCATAAACATCAGGCCTTACCAATTAGAGACACAATACAATTTGCATCCATCTCTGGTCATACCATGCATAGCACAACACATTTCATTAGAGTAAACAGAGATAGATCAGTGCCAAATCACAAGACTACAATGTTAAAAACTAACTTGTTTGTGCAAAAGCACATTAAACAGATGCTTTCTGGTGTGGTTTTCTTCCATACCACGGTGTGTATCTGCATGTTAATAATTTTAAACAAATCTGAATGAATGAGATGCAGATCATTTGCACATCAGTTGAATTCTATACATCTGCAGAATCATCTAATATTGGACTATATTATGTGATGAAAAAAATTTTTCTTCTTAACAACAATCTTATTTTATCTTATCTTTAGATTAAGCCATATGTCTGAGAACTTGCATGTCATTTAGGTTTATTTTTAATTCTGTTTCAAAATTGTTTCAAAAAGTTAAAAAATAATGCATCTATCAGAGCTTCAAGGGATGTGGAGTTATACAGTGAAGCCTCTGAAACTGGTATTGATTAATCGTTATGTCTTCATCAGATCACATTTTAGAGTCCATTCATTCTGAAATTCAGAGGATTTTTGAAGAATTCGCAAGCGCTTTCATTCAGCTTTACATCAAACCAGGCACAGGCAGCCTCAAATAAAGCTTTGAGAGAGCGTGAAATTACTAACTATTAAGTTACCTAATTACTAATACTTACTATTAAGTGTCGGTTTGTTTCCGTTTGAACCAGAGCGTAGTAAGATAAACCTTTGCATCGCCAACATACGACTGGATGAGATTCTCCCTCACCGCTTCGACACATCTCCCAAATCGCTCTGAGAGTTTGACTGGAACACCAAGCTGTCATTAAAAATGCATTAAAGCATATTAAGGCATAATTAGATATTAGTCCCTAATCTGCAGTAATTACAAAGACAGAGGCAGCGAGTGCTTTGGTAAATGAGTTAAGCACATATTTTTGATAGCGTAGGTGTAATCAGGGGAGAAGGTGCTCTCATTTTGTGTAATATACAGCCAAGAAGATAAGAGAGAATGACTGAATCAGAGCTGCTCTGTCAGATACAATGAAACTCTGGGCTGGATTTCAAATAGACATCAATCCCATGGGCCACAGCACAGTAGGGTTATGAAAACACAACACTGTATAATACCACAATTAATGCTTGTTAAATAACTAGCTGTTGTTAGACAGATAATGGCTAATTGGACATTAAAATTAGATATTCATTCATGAACTGTAGTGAGCGTTGTGCCAGTGTTTTTTTTTATATATACATGTATGCAAGGTCTATCATAAGACTGTGAATGTCAGATCTGTTTTATGGATGACAGTGCAAACAGCAAAAAACACATTAAATGGCATTGTCTATTACAGTCTGGGCTTTTTTCAAAATTGAACAAATACTGGATATTAATCCAATTTCAATTTCAAATGCTTCATAACATATCAGTTAAAACAGCCAGGTCAGAATTATTGCTTTTTTGTTGTTTTTGTTTTTAAAACAATGTAATAATTGTGCCCTTGATTTACTGTAAAGAATATCATGTACATATTATTAATGAATTATAATAAATAAAACACAATAATAAATACCAGAACTTTAGGAACACTGAAGATAAGCCGTTGCAGGACTTGACCTCGTATTTTTTCTTCTACACTTGTACTTTAGGCTTATATTTCTGTATATAACTATATGGCGGTTGAACAGAAAAGTCATGTGACTGAAACAGGTGAATATGAACCTTACATCAATCCTTCTGAACTTACATGAACTTCACTGACAATGTTTATGCTTACCAGGTCCAAACCAAATGTTTTACTTTATAAATGTTAACAATTTTAATGAGAACAATGTAAAGGTTTCTTTATAATACTATTTTACTACATTAAAAAAAAACATTGAAACATGCTGAAATGCTGAATTTTTGACATTTCACCATTTGATGATAATCTGTAGCGAATCAGCTCATGGGGAAATATGAATAATTAATCATAACTAGTTATAATTAATTATAAATATTTAGATCCGCTGTAGATATTTAGCTGACCTCTCAGGGTCAACTGTCTGTCAATTCTAAGAACGTTAATTTCCTGGTTAAGGGAAATAAATTTTAATACTGTACAATTCTACAAAGAGCTTGTAGCATAAATCTGCATGATTAAGTGACTCCAGTTATGAGCAAACAATGAACAACGTCAAGTGTGATACAAGTAAGACTTTATTAACTACATAAACACTTAAACTAGTCTAACATACTACATAAACACTTAAACTGGTCTAACATACACATACACACACACACACACACGCATACAGT